CGCGGCTGGGCTTATTAGCCGTGGGCTTAATAACCGGCGACTACTGTAGTTGTTTTAATAGATTCTTGTTCTCTTGGTTCTCTTTCAGTTTTTTGTCCTTTCCGCAACCTTCTCGACTACATTTTCATTCCAGTAAAACAACTACAAGCGGCTTTACTTTCTTATTGCGCACTTATCACGCATTAGCCGTTTAACGACGAATTTCGTAAGACACCCGGACTGGGTGAATTGTACCACTGGGCGGCCCTACGATGAAACCCTACCTTACTTTTAAAACGCGGTCATCACCTGCATCATTCTTAATTAGGATCCGTCATTTAGCTGCCTTTGCATTGCAGGAACAAGCAGGAAGGTCACTACTTATACTCTGTAGATTAAAAGGGGTATTCACGGATCAGGCCAGACCTCTTACCAGCACTGGATCCACGTATAAAGTCTTGGCGTCTTAATACTACAAGGAATCGAGGAAGTTATATCACACAAAAGCTTCTTCTTTTCCCTTTCATTCACAACTTACACCTAGATTCACAGATTACCAACTAATGTCCGCCTGGGTTTTGCCGTACTATGTGGATCCTTAAGACACAAATTTGGGCTCATCGACCGGCTGTTCTCATCACACCTTAAGTCGCTGTCTTGGGTGTTTCTTAAGAATGAAGCACGTTATATGTCTCAAGTTTTCCCTGCTATTTGTAGTTTTCTGAGGACAACTGATTAATTCTATGATTTTAGACTATCCTTCTTTTGTTATTTAGCAAACCACAGTTTATCCTCCGTACTTAGGCTCACCACCAGAGCTTCTCGGAATCGAATCTGTTCTCATTGTACCCGTATTCTATTGTTTTATTTTCAGTAACCGCTATGGCCTCCGGTTCCGGAATCGTTTGGTTTCAACGTATAATCAATCTTAAACCGAAGCCGCGCGGGTGCCACTACGTAACCGATGAGGTTGTGAAGGGATTCCCTGAAATCAGCCAGATCAAAATAGGGACCCTGCACCTCTTCAGTAAGTTACTCTTTAGTCTTTAAGATGTTTCGTTTCCATCTACTTTTGCTGATTTTGGTTTGACATTATTTTTGGACTTTTTGCATTTTAGTGCAGCACACTTCTTGTAGCATCACGTTGAACGAGGTGAGATTTTACCTTTACCGTTACTGTCTTATGTCTTTAGAGTTGGGATGCATCTGTGAAGTAAGTGGACACTTTTCTCCTTGTTTTGAAAATTTTCTTTTAGGGATGATGTCGAAATGCTCCTTAATCGACTTATACCAGAGGTGAGTTCAATCTAAAGAAAAGGCAGATGCAAATTTCTGCTTTAGAATTTGAACTACAAGCACTCTTGCGAAGGTCCGGACGATATGGTAAGTGCCTACAAGTTCGTTCATTTACCACTTCTGTCCTTCAGCCAGCCCACGGTAAGCACGCCATACTGGGCGGTTCTAATGTGACCGTGCCAATCACGGATGGGCGCATGAACCTGGGAACCTGGCAAGGCCTCTGGTTCATTGAACATCGCAATCACGCCTGTACGTCTGTGAGCCGAGTCAGGCTGCTTTTTATTTCCTCCAGTTATTGTGAGCCGGCCACTGGCTATTTCACGTATCTGAAGCTCCCGTTATAATTTGAATAGAGGGAAAAAACTGATCGGGTTTATTGTAAATTTGGGTTTCTAAGGACGCCGAAAGGGTAGAGTATTCGCTTTTGGTGTGCTAAAAACCCACCAGGCTATATTTGACTGGCATTCCTTTTCTTTAACCGTGAGACAGAAATCGCGAGACGTTTCGTATAGTTAGAAGGGGAGTTTGTAAACACTTCGATGTTGCGGCTCTGATTGGCAAGCCCACTGATTAACCTCCTTCAACCCAACACAAAACAATCTAAAACTACTGTGACAAAACCCCTCATTGTGACCCCCCCCGGAAGCCACTAGTCTGATTAAAATAATGAAACACTGTATAACGTAAGACGAACTGGAACTCAAATTTATGATCAGCATTCATACGAATTACGTACTCTGCTGTGTTACCGCTTGCTATACCAGGAAGCTAACTGTTGAAGCGTACTGCGAATAAAAAACGTGCATGCTCGTTCCACTAGTCGTGGATTGTTAGTACATTGGATGA